TTGGCACGAACTGAGGCTTGCAAACGTGATGTTAAGTTAATGAAAGAGTTGGGTTTTAATGTCATACGTGTTTATGAGGTAATCTTTTATAAATAATACTTGTTTCTTTTTGACATGAAATGTCATTAAATATTTTTATTATCAAAGGTTGATAACGATAAGGACCACGATGCATGTATGAATTACTTTGCAGAAGCTGGTATATACCTAATTCTCGATCTAGCTACCATAAAATATAGCATAAACCGTGATAATCCACAGTGGTCATTACCACTCTTTCAAAATTATATTGCCACTGTTGATGCATTCAGCAAGTATCCAAACACATTGGGATTTTTTGCTGGTAATGAAGTCACGAACAATAAATCTAATACAGAAGCGAGTTCATTTGTTAAGGCTGCGATAAGGGACATTAAAGAATATATTAGGGTGAATGCAAAAAAGAACAATGGACGAATTATACCAGTAGGATATTCCAGCAATGATGATCAAGACGTTAGAATTCCATTGAAAGAGTATTTTAATTGTGGAAATAAGAGTGAGCAGGTATTAAAGTTCATGTTAAGAGTTTTTATTAATAAAAATTGGTAACTAATCTTTAAATGCTTTGTAGGCGGATTTTTACGGAGTAAATTTATACGAATGGTGTGGAGATAGCACTTTTGAAACTTCTGGATATGCAGATAGGACCGGAGAATTCGTCAATTATAACATTCCTGTTATTCTTTCCGAATATGGTTGCAATATTGTAATTCCTCGTCAATTCACCGAAGTTTCAACAATCTATGGTTCACAAATGACTTCAGTCTGGTCAGGCGGAATAGTTTATGAATGGTCACAAGAAAGTAATTCATATGGTCTTGTAGAAATTGATAAAGACGGTAATGCCAAAAAATTGCAGGACTTTAAAAACCTTCAACAGCAATTTTCTAAAATAAAAATTCCGTCGAGTGGCACGTTACTAATGGACTCTTACACACAAAAAAATAATGAATCTTCAAAGTGCCCTCCTCAATCAGAAAATTGGAAGGCGACTATGAATCTACCACCAACTCCTATGAAGAATGTTTGTGAATGTATGGTCTCTTCACTTTCTTGTGTTGCGTCATCGAAGGTTATGAATGATCAAAGATTAATTGATGAAAATTTTAGACTAATTTGTGGAATGGTCAAATGTGATGATATTAATGTTGACGTCAGTTCGGGTAAATATGGTAAATACTCGTATTGCAGCTCGGAAGATAAGTTATCTTATCAATTTGATGTTTATTTTAAACATCAAAGGAGAAATCCCCTTGCTTGTAACTTTAAAGGTGCTGCTATAATTGTTAAAAATGAAAAGAATAAAGGAAATTGCGGTGAGAATAAAACTAGCAATGATAATCCTAATGTTCCAAGTGATAACACAGTTAACAGTGGTGACGATAAAAAGAAAAGCGATGCGACTGCTTTAAAGAACTTTGGAAACTTTATGGGAGTAATGACGATTTTTGTTAGTTTTATTAATGTATATTGAACGTTGATATTTGAATTCGTAATTAGAGTTAATAATGTTAAAATTTTATTCATATATAAAAATGGCTCGAATTATTGAAACAGCAATACAGTACATATATAATTGTAATATTTATCAGTCTAAAATTATAACAAGGCGACATACGTTAAACCAGTATTGTTATAGGAATCTTAAAGATAATACCATATGGCATTGCTTTTAAGGTCACTGTTTTATACAATATGGTACTAGTTTGACGTAAATTATGGATGTCGCCCAAGAATCTCCTAATAAGACTAGACTGTCTCTTCAAGTTCTTTCACCCACTTCAGAAACCCTTCACTCCTCGTCATCGTCGTCATCGTCATCGTCATCGTCATCGTCATCGTCATCGTCATCGTCATCGTCATCGTCATCGTCATCGTCATCGTC